TTCATGATCAAGCACGGCGACGAGATCTGAAGAACTAAGATAAACCCGATCGATCTGCCGAGTGAATGAATAGTTAATGAAGGGACTAGACTTTTGAACCAATATCAACTTGGGAGTTTTAAGTACAATTGGGTTATTAGCTTTTACCTCGGATTCAAACGTTAAGGCGTCTCCTTGCTCGGTGAACCGTTGTTTATCGCGTAAGTTGTCGAGATAGTCAAGAATCTCAAGCCCCTCGACCCTTACCTCACTGTAAGAACAGTAGATAGTGTCATTGGAAAGCATCAAAGAAGAGTATGCAAAGAGCTACTCATACCTGATATCAGAAATGGAGAAATATGTGTGGAATGCAATGGAGAAACTGAAAGGTTTGCAATTGATGTTACGAATTCGTGATATTAAAGTGAGATTGCCATCTGCTGTCAAACAGATCTTGAGTCTGAATTCAAAACTGTTGGGAGAAACAAAAAAAAAGTTGTTGTTGCTGTTATCATCATCTTGAGCTTCATAATCTGAGTTTGAAAGGAGACGATCAATTCATTTCTAACCTATGTGGCCATATTTTCAGATCGTCTTCAGAAGGTTTAAGAAGCAAATCGATGCAGGATTTGTCTTTGATTTCGCCACGAGTAAGAGGAGGAGGGTTATCGTCGATTTTCCAAATCTTGTTTCGAGCAAACCCGTGCTGCTCGAGGTTTCCACGAGCCCCAAACTACATATGTAACGAAACAAATCAATAAAATTAATGCAAATGTGTGAGAGTCCAAGCCCACTGCCAGTAGACATTGTCCTCTTTGGGTTTTTCCTTTCAAGCTTCCCTTCAAGGTTTTAAAACGCGTTTGTTAGGGAGAAGCTTCCACACCTTTATAAGAAATGTTTCGTTCTCCTCTCCAACCGATGTGGGATCTCACTATCCACCCCCCTTGGGGAACCAACGTCCTTGCTGGCACACCGCCCGGTGTCTATCTATGATACCATATGTAACAGCCCAAGCCTACCGCTAGCAGATATTATCCTCTTTGGGCTTTCCCTTCTGGACTTTCCCTCAAGGTTCTAAAACGCGCCTGCTAGGAAGAGGTTTCCACACCTTTATAAGAAATGTTTCGTTCCCCTCTCCAACCGATGTGGGATCTCACAATCCACTCTTTTGGGGCCCAGCGTCCTCGCTAGCACAATGCCCTATGTTTGGCTTTGGTACCATTTGTAATAGCTCAAGCCCACTGCTAACAGATATTATCCGCTTTAGTCTGTTACGTATCACCGTTAGCCTCACTAGTTAGGTAATATGAAACAAATTAGGGGAGAAACATAAATAAGCACTACGTACCTGCGGAAAACAGATTGGAATTCCTCCTCTCACAGCTTTTGGTGGCTTGAAAACTGCCTACAATGGAGAAGAAAGGAAATGCTAAATTTTTATACATGTTATTTACAATTGTGAGAATCGAGACCCGACCCGACCCGACCTGACTAATTACGAGAGATCCAAGAAAGTTAATCTAAGCCATGATATCAAACCAGAGCAGACAAAACAAAAATGACACTGAAACAACAGTTCTTTGCCTAGCAATGAGTAGCATTTCAAAGGCTTTTGTTTCTGCTTAGGCTTTGGCGAGTTGAAGAACTAGAAGATGGAGATTACCTTAGTACTGGTAAACAATAATTCTTCACCTTTCTCAGTTTTCCATGAAAGAACTTGGCCTCCATGCAAGCTAACCTGGATCATTGATACAGCAATAAAGAACACATCAAGAACAAGAACAGTTATTACCTTTATGATTTTGTGTGATAGCAATTTTGTTGTTTATTTTCTGAAAATAAGCTTATGAAACTTACTTGTACCTATGTATCCTTCATTAAAAATTTCAGATTTCAATAGATATCATCTGAGTTTCAAAAACAAAATCGGATTTCTGAAATTTGGGTACGATTCAAGATATTGTCCTCTTTGGGCTTTCCCTTCTAGGCTTCACCTCAAGGTTTTAAAACGCATCTACTAGAGAGAGGTTTCCAATCCTTATAAGCAATGCTTCGTTCTCCTCTCCAACCAATGTGGGATCTCACAATCCACCCCTCAAGAGCCCAGCGTCCTCGCTGGCACACCTCCCTGTATTTAACTCTAAATACCATTGTAATAGCTCAAGCCTACCACTAGTAGATATTGTCCTCTTTTGACTTCCCCTCAAGGTTTTAAAACGCATCTACTAAGGAGAGGTTTTGACACCCTTATAAGCAATGCTTTGTTCTCCTTTCCAACCGATGTGGGATCTCACAATCCACCCCCTTGGGAGTGCAGCGTCCTCATTAGCACCGCCCAGTATCTAGCTCTTATACCATTTATAAGAGCTCAAGCCCATCACTATGAAATACTGTCCTTTTGGGGCTTCCCCTCAAGGTTTTAAAACGCGTCTACTAGAGAGATATTTTCACATCTTTATAAGCAATGCTTCGTTCCCCTCTCCAACCAATATGGATATCACATTCAGAGTCTCAATACTAGGAAGAAACATCACAAAGACCATGTACATAATATACCACTCATATACACATAATCAGAAGCCGACACGACAAAGCTATCGATCAGTTAAACTATAAACAACATCACAGCAACTCAGTCATAATCAAAGTGATCAAAACTTTCCAAAGCTTCTAGGACTAAACAGAGAAAATGGTCCAACCCCAACACTAAACTTATAATTTAAAGTAGAATCCTATACTGTAAAATAGATGAATAAAAGGGATATGGTACCCTTGCTGAAGCTCCACGAGAGTTCCTAAGCAGCACTTGGTCCACACCATTCTTGTCTTTGGCAACTTCAACTGCCGGTTTCTGGTTACTGACCGCCCCAGAATGATCCATTCCAAAAACACAACGAGGAAATTAATAAAGCAAAAACAAATACAAATCTCTCACACACTCTTTTTTTGCTCCCCTTCCCTTCTCTAAAAGGATGAACAACGCTGAAGAACAGCAAACTAATTGAAATAACTAAGAGGATGAACAGAAATTTGCAATATCTCAGAAGCAGATGAGAAATTTAAGCTTTACCCTCGAGGCTTCAACACACTTTCTTGTGACAAACCATTTCTCCCGTGAATTTAAACCAAAATCCCACCCACCCACTACAACAACTAGCCCCAAATTTCCCCCACCAGAAAGTTTCTAATACCACGAATTTTCCAAAATCCACCGACAAAAGCAGTAAACAAGATTCAAACCCTTTAATCATAAAGCATATCAGAATCAAAAGAACACCAATCCATGCGGAGAACCGCTAATCGATTGCGTAACAGTAACCCCCAAAGAACCCAAGAAACTGATGAACAGATAACTTCGAACAGTGCCAATTTCGAGGTCAAAAACCATTAACGGAGAAAAGAATCGATGATCATCAAAGACAAGAGAACTCCCGAACCCCAACACAAAGGAAGACAAATCTCGAATCGATACAACCGCCCAAGTTATAAAGAAAAATCAAAGGGTCAAATGAACAAGAGTTCAGATCCTCGTCGTCCTGTTAAAGGATGGGATGAATAGGAAGTATCGAGGATGGCGATTGACTGAAATAAACAAATACCCACTTGCAGATGAGAGACGAAAAACGTATAATTACGGTAAGGAAGCAAAAGGGTGAAGGTAGCCGCCATTACTATTGCTGGGTTTCAGCCATGGCCTTTGAATTTTGATTTTCGAAGTGTAGTGGCTGCCACAAAATACAGCTTTGGTAGGCCCTTTCTTTAAATTTGATTCCTAATACCGGAATTAACGACCTTTTAGACATAATTAATTAACATAATCAAAGCTTTTGTTACACATTGTCATTCTCATCATACGTAATTAATTAAAATTATTTTTGTTGGATGAATTTCGTTGATTTTTATTTTTATTAATGTTTTTTTTATTAAATATAGAAAATTTGAGGGGTTGAATTAGATATATATATATATATATATATATATATATATATATATATATATAATATTCAACAATGCTACTTTTAAAAATAAAAATAAATAGATATTGAATATATCAAAATTTATTAGAAGGATAATTAAAAAAAAAAGTATATTAAATATTTATTATATTCCAAATTAAAAGTTAAAAAAATTCAGAAATCTTTGACTTTCGATAATCGTCACAAGGCATGCATGAGAGCAATTGTCGTAGGAATGCCTTAACGTGCTCTAATCACTTTCCTTAACACTCCGAGTTACCGATAAAGTTGTCTAGATAGTAGCTGACAATGATAGAGTAATGCCTCAAATATTAGAGATGTCCATAGTACAGAATGGAGATAGAGCGCTAAATGAGCTTGACAGTTATTAATAGAGTTGTCTATAGTGGCTACTGGTGCATGCTAAAGCAACAAATGTGCCCACCGTCACTGTAATTAACAAGCACGAGCAAGAGGTCAAACCCGTCTAATTTATTCAAATTTGACTGGAAATGAATTATGTTGAATGAATCGATCTATTGTTGTGTGCCCTAAACCCTAAACTCTAAATCCTAAACATTTCGTTACGACATAATTGAGAATTTTTAATATATGAAAGATAAAATTGAAAATTTTAAAGGCTAAGGGGACTATTTGGCATATTTTATTTTAATTTTTTTTCGTTGAAAATTTAATTACAATACTTTTTTTTAAAAAATAATTATTAATTCAATGATATTATTATATATATTGAATAATTTTAAAATCTTATAACTAAAATACTATTTCAAAACATTAATGGTAGCTTAACAAGTCCATCTCAAAACGTCGCCGTTTGAAAGGGCATTACAAAAGTACAGCCGCCTGAAACAGAAGCAAATTTTAGGTTAATAAATAATAATTCCTTTTCCAAAATAAAAAATAAAAATTAAATCAGTGACCCTTCACAGCCTCGACGAGTCCGTCACGATATTTTCTTGGTCCGTTTAATCCAATTTAATTTTTTTTAATATAAAAATTAAAAAACACTTTTTCTTTTTCTTTTTGCGTTCAATTTATTTATCTATCTTCTTCTTCTTCATCATCCAAACAGCGGCCTCCACTTCTGACCTCGGCGCCTCCGTCTCTTTCTCACTCATCACTTTTTCTCTCTCTCCTCTCCATTTCCGAGCTACGATGGAAGCTTCTGCAGCTCTTTCTCGCATAGGCCTTGCCGGCTTGGCCGTTATGGGCCAAAACCTCGCTCTCAACATCGCCGAGAAAGGCTTCCCTATTTCCGTCTACAATCGTACCACTTCCAAGGTCGATGAGACTGTAGATCGCGCCCATAACGAAGGTAATCTTCCTCTGTTTGGTCAGTATAATCCTCGCGATTTTGTTCTATCTATTCAGCGCCCTAGATCGGTTATTATCCTCGTTAAGGCTGGCTTGCCTGTCGATCAGACCATTGCTGCGCTTTCCGACCACTTGGAGCCTGGTGATGCTATCATTGACGGTGGTAATGAGTGGTATGAGAATACTGAGCGTCGGATTGCGCAGGTTTCTGATCGGGGGATTCTGTATCTTGGGATGGGGGTTTCTGGTGGTGAAGATGGTGCTCGCCATGGGCCGTCGTTGATGCCTGGAGGGTCTTTTGAGGCTTATTCTAATGTTGAGGATATTCTGAAGAAGGTAGCTGCTCAAGTTGACGATGGTCCTTGCGTTACTTACATAGGTGAAGGGGGTTCGGGTAATTTCGTTAAGATGGTGCATAATGGTATTGAATATGGTGATATGCAGCTGATTTCCGAGGCCTACGACGTTTTAAAACACGTTGGAGGGTTATCGAATACTGAATTGGCTGACATTTTCTCTGAGTGGAACAGGGGGGAGCTGGAGAGCTTCCTAATTGAGATATCAGCTGATATCTTTAAAGTTAAAGATGAACATGGTGATGGTGAATTGGTGGACAAGATTTTGGACAAGACTGGGATGAAAGGAACTGGGAAATGGACTGTGCAGCAAGCTGCTGAGCTTTCCATCGCAGCGCCAACGATTGCAGCGTCGTTAGATTGTAGGTACTTGAGTGGGTTGAAGGAGGAGAGGGAAAGTGCGGCTGAGGTGTTGAAGGAGGCGGGGCTAAATGACAGCGTGGGGTCAGTGAGGAGTGGGATTGACAAGAAGAAATTGATTGAAGATGTGAGGCAGGCTTTGTATGCCTCCAAGATTTGCAGCTATGCTCAGGGAATGAATTTGCTGAGGGCTAAGAGCTTGGAGAAGGGATGGAACTTGAATTTGGGAGAGTTGGCAAGGATTTGGAAAGGTGGGTGCATCATAAGAGCTGTGTTCTTGGACAGGATCAAGAAGGCATATCAGCGCAATCCTAACCTTGCAAGCTTGTTGGTGGATCCCGAGTTCGCCAGAGAGATGGTGCAGAGGCAGGCTGCTTGGAGAAGGGTGGTTGGGTTGGCCATATCGGCGGGGATCAGCACTCCAGGTATGTGTGCTAGCCTTGCCTATTTCGATACGTACAGGCGCGCTAGGCTGCCTGCCAACCTTGTGCAGGCGCAGAGAGACCTGTTTGGGGCTCATACATATGAGCGAGTGGATCGCCAGGGCTCCTTCCACACAGAGTGGACAAAGCTCGCTCGCAATGCTGGCGCTGGTGCTAGCATTCTCAAGTGAGCTTTTGAGCTGCCCATTTGGTTGGTTTTCTTTCTTTGTTTCAATTGGGTGCAAATTTCCAACTTGATTTTGCTTGCCCATTTCAAAAGTTGGTAGTTTTTCTTCTTTGTATCACAATCTGGACAGTCTTCCATGCTTCTTAGGGGAGTAGATAGCAGATAGTTTTACTGGCTTCAAGTATTTGCTATAAATAATAATTAATAAGGAAAAATAGGAAAAAAAAAAAAAAGGAAAGAAAAGAAAGAAAGAATGGCCATTAAGTTGTATTGTGTTAGTTCTCTTTACATCTCCTTGTACTTCAAATTGAAGGAATTTCCCTTTTGTTTAGTCATTAGTCTTATTATTCTTCCATTAATGCTGCGTGAAAATATTGAAATTCTGATTTAGACCTTGAGGATTTTGATTATATCAATCTGGCATCTGATCTTGGATGAATTAGAGCGTGTTTGATTTAGACCTTAAAATGGTTTCTCTCTTATGTATGGTTTAACAAATTGAGGTAAACTAAGGGACGGTGATTCAAACCCATATTGTAATGTATAGTTGAATTAAAATATGGTTCTGGTTAGGCTAGAAAGTGGATGAAAATAAGGCCAAGGAAAACTTGAATTCTCAGAAACCGGCATTACTCTGTAGAACCAATTCTTCATCAGCTTGTGTGAATCTATTTCGTTTTCAAAGCTACGATAGAAACCATTTTTAGATGAACACGACTCTTTATAATGGTATGATATTGTCCACTTTGACACGACTCTCTACAATCGTATGATATTGTCCACTTTGAGCATAAGCTCGCATGACTTTGCTTTGGGGACCCATGATTATTTCCTAAATTAGGACACGTGTCCCTGTTTTCTCATCAATTCTCATCAAACCCTGCACATCTAGTGTTCGACGATTTGCCTAAAGGTAATTTCAGGTTTTGGAAGTGTATTTCTTTGCGGCTTTCCATTGTGTTGATACTGAGTTTTGTGATCTTGCATCGAAACCCATGAATCGAACGAGTGGAGTTAGGAATGAGAAGCCTGGAATTTTGAAGTAGGAAGAAGCCCAGTTGCTGAAGTTTTGGTACACTTCTACCAATCTTCTAACGTGGGGCGCCGACAAGGTGTTCGATGAAATGCCAAAATGACTGAAATTACCTTCTTTCTCCCACAGCCTCCGGAGAGATATGCCGGGAGGCTGGCTCAGTAAAAAGCGCCCATATACGGCCCGCGTCGAACCAAGGTCCTAAGCCGCCCGTATACGGCCTGGGTCAAACCAACGCCTTGAAGCCCGTAGCTAACTATCTATGTAAAAAGAATCTTTTATAATTTTTAAATTATCACGTCCTTTATATAATGCTAGGCTTTTGTTTTCATATATTTTATTTCTAACAAATAAACAATAAAATAATAATATACTTTAAAAATATATATATATTCTTATTCTAAATTATCCATTAACAATTAATTCAAAATTATTAGAACAATTAAAATTTGAAGGGCAAAGATTCCGTATTTAATTGTGTTCAATAATTTATAAAAAAAACACTAATAGTTTTATTTATTTATTTATTATTTGTTTACACAATTTATTTCTACGATGGCATTTACGTCATAGCATAATTAATAAATTCCATTAAATTATATTGTGTTTTAGTAATTTTTCAAATTACTAATATTTAAATACCAAGAAAAAACTTCAGTACTTAACCTATCTAATCGCCGCCACATTAAATTAAATTAATTAATTAAATAAAAAGAAATAGAAGCCCTATGCAGTTTCATCTTCCTCCCACCGCCCCGGCCGCCTAATGTCTTCCACTCTTAACGGTGCCGGCGCCGCCGCTTCCCTCCAGCAGTTCGCAGTGAGTTTTCCACTATCTCTTTACAGGTATGGTTCCAAAATCTATATCTTCCTTTCTTCTTTCGTTCCGTTTTTCCGTCTTTTCTTCTCATCTGTTTTCATATTGTTTTCTTCCATCTCTCATGCTCGTTAAACCCTGACGTTGTTAGTTCCATCTCTTCTGTCAGGTTTCCACATAAACAGTGAGAATGCTTCTTCTCTATTGCCTTTTTCTTCTTTGATCGTTTTTACTTTCTCTGTTGGTGCTCTGGGCCGCTTCTGCTATCGTGATTTTGATTTCTCTGTTGATTTTGTTTTTTTTTTTTATGGTTTATATACGATTCTCTGTTTCCTTTTGCTTTTTGCAACCATCTCGGTGCTTAATGCACATGTTGAATCAGAATGAGCATATTATAAGAGAGAATGGGGTTTTCTGTTGGGCTTGATGTTTTTTGGTTCTGGGTTTGGGTTTTGGCGAATCCGAAGTAGCTGAAATAATAATTGGTGTCGAGTGGAAAATGTGTAATCCAACAGCTTATAATCTTTTCTCTGTCCAATGTCTATCCAAAACCCTGGTAGTATCATTGCATAAAGCTTTGTTATTTTAGGGAACACTTCTCAATTGATGTTAGCCTCAGTTTCGGGCAGAAGAGTATAGAATGTTCATTCATCCTTGGATGGGGTTTATGGTTTGTTCATATTATTATAGGTTATGGTTTCCTTTTCTGATGATTGGATGGAATTAAAGCTTTTTCAATATTTGTTTTCTTGTAGATTTGCCCCTATACTATTTGATCAAGCTTGTAAATATCAAGATCTTTTTGAAAGAGTTTGAACCAAGGAGAAGAATTGGAGCACGTGAAACACTTCTTTCTGATATAATAGCATTGAAAGTTGAAGAACTTTTGCTGAAATATCAGGATGGGGGAGAAAGTCGTCACTGCTAGCGGTAAGGACAGGTCAATTCCCAGAAATCTCAATGTGCATAAGTTTGTAGACCCTCGGGCGTCTGAGCTGGAAGCTCTTCAATCCATCATTTTGAATCGGATGAATAGTAATACTTGTGATCAAAGGTCGAAGAGGAGAAGAACTTCTTCTTATTTAACTAATGCTTCTAGGAAAAGGAAAAATAAGAAAATGAAAATGGATACCACCCATCTGGATTTAGCGAAAAACGAGAAGAAGGCTTCTCGGAAAATACGTCGCAGAGCTGAGCTTAAAATGAATCATGGAATTGGATTTTCTACTTCTGGGGATGGCACCAAAAGGCTTAGAACACATGTTTGGCATGCTAAGCGTTTCACTATGACTAAGCTTTGGGGTTTTCATCTCCCTCTAGGGTTGCAGGGCAGGTAATACTTTACTTTTTCTTGTTTAATATTCTTTAATGTCCTGAAAGAAGAAAAAGGGAAATATGATTAATGTAATTGCTGATCATAAAATGTGAAATTCCTCAATGATCGGAAGTTGGACCATTAACCTATTTGTTAATGTAGTTTTTTTCTTCTAGAATTTTGTTTATGCAAAGGACAATTGCAGTTTGAGACTTTTATGTGTTAGAACTAAAATCGGTCTTCTGTTATGCCAGAGGTAAGGGTTCTAGAGCTCTTCTGAAATGGTACAATGATGGAGTGCTTATACATGATGCTAGTTATTACGTTCCCGTCCAGTTGGAGGGTCCAGAGGTGGGAAGCCTCTTTCCTTTGTGCCTTTCAATTTTTCATGTGATTAGGACTTGTTTATAGTTTTAAATAATTTATGTTTTTCTTGATCATTTGTTTTCTAAAGGTTGTTCTCATGTGCCTACAGGACTCTCTGATCTCAGCTCTAGGAATGGTGTTGGAACCATCCATAGTATCTCATTCTCAAGACATTTCTCATGCAATTATTTCTGGTGTTATTTATGGTAGAGCAATTGTATGTCATCTGGTTACTCATTATTACTAGTTTAATGATGCATAGTTTAATGATGCAAGTAGTTGGATATGTAATTACTGACTTTGTTCTTCTGCAGCTTCATGATATCAGGGTCCCGGGTGCTACTGCAATTGCTCCTGTAACATATATGTGGCGTCCATGTCCTTATCGAAAAAAAGAAATCAATGTTAATAATCATAATTGCAGTGTATTTAAGACAATGGATGGCATAGACGCGTCTTCTACTTCACGCCAGCTTTGGGTTTGGTTACATCCTTCTGCCTCTTGTGAAGGATATGATGCTCTAAAATTCGCTTGCCAAAAGGAGGTAAATATTATGTTCACGTCCATCAGATTATGACCAATTGGACCTCCTTTTTGTAGCCCTTTGATCTTGTGGGGACATCTCATCTCCCCTTACCCTCTTTTTTTATGGTCTTTCTCTAGTCTCTGAGTTTTTTTTTTTAAGGATATTATATAAATGAACAAGAAAAGTATCTGCAAAACATTGAGTGAATTTTTTAAATTTGTACCCTAGAAGGTTTGTCGACGATAGGAATGAGAATAAAACATTCTCTAGATCACTACAAGTGGAGGGACCAACTGAAAGTCTCCCCACTTCCCTAAATGAGCTCAGCTCCAAGTAAAGTTCTTATTTTCTCTTGCAAATTTTTATGTTTTGAGTGGTTATCTAATTTTCTCTTGCAAAATTTTCAAGCTTGATGAGATTATCTTTTCAATTAAAAAAAGCTGAAAGTTCACTTAGTATGTTGAAAAGATTTTTGCTTTACAATTAGTTACTGAGGTCTTGTCTTTTCTCTTTTATCTCAGATGGATGAGAAAAATATCCCAATTTACTGTTCTTCATTAGAAGGGCAACTTGCAAAATTGGAAGTATTTGGCTCAAATGCATCCCAGCTTCTTGAAAATCTTTTGCATCCTATGACACGGTAGAAGCACATCTTGTCTTACTGTCATAGATGAATGCTATCCATAGTGATTAATAACTAACTTTACTCCTGCAGTGCTTCACAGAATCTTTGGCAGTTGAAAAAGCATTCCACTGGGGGTCCTGATGGTAATTCTCATTTGAAGACATTGTTCAATTGCGAAAACGAGAATTACATTCCATCATATGGAATTGCATCCATCGCTTTCAAAGATCCTCGAATGCTACCGAATGAAAAGACTACAGACGTTCAAGATTCAACTTCAATGCATAACCCTGCTGATTCCTCAGCAATTCTTTCTGAAGATAAAGAAATTCCAAAAAGTAATGAAATGTTATCATCTTTGGATTCAAGAATTGACGAAAATGGTTTTTTACTTGAGAACAAGGAATTGTGGGATGCCAAAAGTGGAATGAGGGCCCCTGTTGAAGATACTGTTATTTGTGCAGCAAGACATCATACACGGATGAATCGCTTTTGCCTTGATGAACCGTCTGCAGAGATGGCGAAAGATCTGAGCTCATTGCAATGCTCAAGTGCTTGTCCCACATTGCTTTTAAATGAGAATGACGAAAGCAGTACTCTTTTAAGGTAACCACTTTTTCTTGATTTTGTGAATTCCACTGACATTGTTATTTAGGGCAAGGAGTTTGGGT